AATATGTCACTAAACACACTGTTTCCAAAATCATAGACCCAGACTATTCACTGGAACAGAGAAAGGAATGAATCTGTACCACGCAGTAGGAGCCTGTTCCTAATTTTAAAATTATTTCTATAGCTTAGACTAGTAAAAATAAAAGATGTTTAAAAATGAGTGTTCCTTAAATCTAGGCTGCTTTTCAAAGAAGCTGTTCACTATTCTGAGCATTTTTCTTCTACTGAAAATTTTCAGTGACCTAAATATAAATGCGCACATAGAAAAATGTCTCAAACCCAGGGTCAATCATAGAAGTTACTTTTGCCAGCACTAGCCTATGTAGTCCATTACATTTTCTTTCCCAATTAAATTTTATTAAGTTCTGGTATTTCTGTTGGTTTCTGGGTGTCATCAGTTTTAATTACTATTGCGCTTTTTTTTTCTGAGTTTGAATATTTTTCATCTACCTCTTGTCTGCCCTTACGAAATAAAAGACACTAACATTTTTGTCATAGTATCTTTACCACATGATTGCAATCCTCTATATAAAATCAAATCAAAATGTATTTTGAATTAGATGGAAATATATAGAAAAAGATAAAGCTGCAGAAACAGAAGCAGGCTAATCATAAACGCAGCTAACAGCCTAATTACAAAGCTTACCATAAAAAACCAAAGCCCAAGAATAAACATAAAAATCTAAACAAAGGAAAAAAAGGCGTTCTCTTCTTCAGAGAGGCAGTCACATTTAGGCCGTTACACATTTCACAGCATCTATACACCTAAAATAGAGAGGCTATTTGACTTTGACTGGTTATTTGGCCATTCCCAAGTGTCATACCATAGGATGGGAGGTGTCAAAATTACGCTCCTGAAATTACAGTTTCTTCTTCCCTGAAGTTAGTATCAACCTACGAAAGATGGTTTTTTTTTTCTTTTTTCTTTTTTTACTCTTTACTGTCCTAGTAGGGTTAAATATTGCCCCTACTGTGTTAAATATTCAAGATGAGCACAAAGCACACAATCTTATCCCAGATACTAGTGCTATTACTCTTTCATTCTACCCACATTGACAACACTATGTGACCAATGATCAACAAACCTAGTATCACTGATTAGTGTTTACAGAGGCCATAAGCTGCAAGACATAAAGCATTGCTGGCAACAATAATACCCCACAGAAGGACCTTAAGAGCTGGCACATAGTAAGCTGAACTAATGCCAATAATGTTGAATAACTTTTAAAAAATATTCAAAGTATAGATAGGACCTTGGTCTATCCCACTAACTGTGTTTCAGGAATTCACCTGTCTGTAATTTGCTTCTCCATATGATACGAAGCAACAACACAGAAGAGTTCTTTCAACACTGACACATTTTTAAGTTGTTGAATTGCTTGCAGAGCACTGGCAAAATCTTAAATTTTGTCCAAAACCAGAGGTTTGAACCTATGGTGGAAATCAAGAGATTTATTTTAAATAATGTCTGTACTTAACAAATGCTAAGTTTTGGCAAATACTAAGAAGGTACATCAAATTCTTAACCAGTAGTACACTTCCATTTCTAGCTTAAGCAACCGAAGGTAAACAGATGGGGAGTGTGGGTGTGGAGAAGAGGACAGATCTCCTGGTATCTGCCTGGAACAATCTCTGCCCCCCTTGGAGTTCCTTTGTTTTCGCTTGTTTCGTTTCGAGCTGCAAGAACTCTGCAAATGGGTGTTCCCAGCCTCTGGCAGCCATATGTGCTGCCTACTATCTGTTTTCATTCCACTGTGCTATGGAGACAAACACACTCTATTTTCAGTGTTCTACATTTCCTGATGTTGCACATATTATGGGTTGTATCTCACATCTAAAGCACTGTATGCGAAAAATCTTCCCTGGACTGATGAGTAAAGGCAACAGATTATCACACAGGATCAGATGAGATAATTTTCATTACTTCTCAGTGCAAGTATATAATTTATACTGAAGTTTGCTTGATCTTGCATACCTGCACTTTCTCTCTACGCTGCCTGCAAGGGGCTTGCTTTGTATGTTCTAAAGATTTTCCCAGCCACTTCCTGGGGTGTAGGAAATTACTACTACCATTTTGTGCGTTGCCACTAGTGGCTGCTACTCTGCACGCAGCATTCAGAGTCAAAACAGGATATGAAGAAATGAACAGCTGTAGGATCAACTGGAGAGAGGCAACAGTGCAGTACAACAAATATTTGCTTGAAAGGAGGAATTCTGTGCACAGGCTCCCACACAGTTCTGTCAGAAAGCACAAACTCCCAAACTAGTTTCCAACCGTTATTTGGATAGTATACTATTTATACAAAATTTGACTGAAAAGATTTCACCATTGCACCTCAGTGCAGCTTTGGAAGGCACCCATGGCATACTGGACAGCCAGTACTTCTTTAAAATGCACCAGACTAAACTGAATTCTAGAAAACACTGCTGGATTTTCCTATATCAGCATTAAGCCATACGTTTCTAGGCAATAGTATTTTGTCCTTCCCCATTTAACCTCCACCTCCTCAAACTTTTAAGCAGCTGAGTAAGCACCGACTTTTAGCTACATATGCCCTGATCCAACAACTCTTATAACTCAATCAATACCATATCATTGCCAGCATAACTTAATACCCATACTTCTAGAGCACACTGCAACACAGATCTTTCCAATGTGTAATACTGCAAATTAAGGGTACTCTAAGTTATTATTAAGCAACTATTGATGATGAATTACCTCTGGCTTAAAAAAATATTATTAGAAGTTGCACTGCAATAGAGATCCATAGAGAAAACTAGTGCCTTTAAAACAGCTTATGAATGAAGAGATTCAAAGTGTTCACTGTTTACAGGGTACTCCAGAAGACACCTGAAGGAGTTCCATTTAACTTTTCAGATTAGGTCTATTCAGTCTGAGGTTTTTACTCATTAATTCATTCCTAAAATAAACACTTTTATTGATTCCATGTGATCTTACAATACAGAAGTACTTCCTAATTAATTAGATCGGCAAGGCATTTTTCAATCTTTGCAATTTATTCAAGTACTTTAATAATGGACTTCAACTAGTCTACTGTTTGAGTGGATGATTTTATTATGTTATCTGCAGCTATTACTCTTCCCCCAGAGATTCTGAGCAAAATAGCAAGAAAATTACTTTTATCTTACTACTTTTAGATTTGTTCTGCCTTCTGCTTTCAAATTGTCAAATGCAGTTAAAATGCTCTGCAATTCCTCGTAGTCCTCTTAAGTCATACAATGCAAGAAATGATTTCTTTCTTAAAGCAGTATCTTTTTCAGCTATCAAAATCATGAAGCAGAAGCATTTTTGTTGATTGGTGTCACTAAGTCTTCTTTTTCTACCTATTTTCTTCCAACATAGCACACAGATTAGTCTAACACACTTTTCTGTTGGGTTCCAACTCAAAGCTTCAGAACTAGCATTTAGCTGAAACTAAATACAGGAGTTTTGAATGGAGACTGGCAAATTCACTTTGCATTAGTCAAGTACCGATGAACGCCCTTCCATACAGTTCCCTGTCACTGTGTTTGTCCGTATTAAGGGAGTGAGACTGTTTCTTTCTAATCCTCCTCATAAAGTGTCAATTTACATTCTGAAGCAAAGTATGTAATCCATCATACATCATTCTGTCGCTCCCAAACTGCCACAATATACCACTTTTTAAGATGCCTGTGGCATAATTTTGATGCCTACGCTCACTGTGTATATGCAGTTTCCTAATAAAGTCTGAATAGTCTTATATTTGCTTACATTTGTTGAAAGGTCAACAAACATTCATTTCAACATAAATTATTTTTGACAATCATTTCAAATTAACACATTGGTGGGAAGGGTCAGAAAGAGGAACAAAAAGTTTTAAAAACTCTGATCTTGAGAGCACCATCCCTAATTTTCACTTATTTTAAAATAAAACTACAGTTTGAACTTCGTATTATAGTCCTATAATAGAAAATTTTTTGTACAACCCAGCCATAGCCTTCCTCAAATTCTCTGATAAAAACTGTCCAATCTGAACATTCACTCCACACTTTATTCACAGCACTGCTACATCTGACGTCTCCTGGGTGGCAGTTTTTATTATATTCAATGAAAAGAAATTTAAACACTGCATTAATGAACAGAAAAATTGTATATACTTTTACATAGTTTGGGAATAGTATTCAAAGCAACTTAAGACAATAGCTTAGAAAGTTATTTCAACCTACAGACTTAATAAATCTTAAAAAGTGGGCAAATCCGGATTTATATCATTAAAAAGTATTTATAATGAATAATCTATTTTTTCATAGAAAAAAATTCTGATCTTTTTACTCAGTTTTAAGTCTCAATTTCATGACAATTTTAGGTATATAATGAACACTTCTTTCAAAATTAGTTTATTGTCCTAGCACACCATCATACTTCCAAACATTTCTAGGTATTAAATGCAAGTTTAATACTTAGGAATATAACAAGATCATCTCAAGATTGTTTCAAAATTTATCTTAATTTCTGCTCTTCTGGTTATTGCACAAAATCGTAATTTTCTTTTAAAATATCTAACTCTTCTATCATTCTTTAAAATATTTTAAAATCATCACAGGCATCTGTTGTAATCGGAAAATGGGATTCAAACTGTTTTTCCAAGGAGTAGATTACAAAAAAACCCCAGTAAGCCAACCTCCAGACTCCAAATGAAAATCAGTTACAATTGCTCTGTGCTCTTATGATCACTTTTCACTTCCTAAAAACTGTTTCCTTTTCATCATAAAGGTTAAGAAAAGGGTATTTAATGGTTCAATCCCGTAATTTTAGCGTTTGTTTTTAGAGCGAAGAGGTTTTCATTGTGATGTTTACCTATTCAATACACGGGCAGTTTCAAGTTGGTTAAATGGAAGCAGTGAAACAGGAAATAAGCTGCCAGCAGGAAGAACAGGAACTGCCAACCAAATCCTCATGTTGTATCCATGGTACAAGGTCTTCAAGGAATTTGAAGAATATCTCTTCTGTCCAGGCTCTCAGAGGTCACTGAGTTTTATAATTATCTCCAGGCAATTTTCCCCACATCTTGTTAAGCTGTCTCTGAACAGCTGTGTGTGTTGCCATGCAACTTCACCATCCCCTCCATCTAGAATTGCTTCTAAAGTAACTTCCGTTGCACCAGAAAAATCTGAATAGGAGCGAAGATTTTTATCTGTTGGAGGAAAAGACAAACAATTAGGTTATCCACTGCTCCAGACAGCATATAATGCTAGCATGCATGTTAAAAAGGGTAAGTTGTAATGGATGTTTAAGAATCTCAATTGCAACTACTCAAACTCATCTGCCAATCAGTGGCAGAAAAAAAAAAAACAGCTCCAAATTTTTAGTTATTATTTGTTTAGTGCTTGTGCTCAGAGGACCTAGTCAAGACTGAAGCTACCGCACATAGGAGCATCTATCCTTCCCAGTAAAACACACAAGTATCTTGTATCCACTATGTGCTAATCCTGCTCTGTTGCAGGTAGGGCTGTGTATATTAATAAAACTCGGGTTTTGTACCACATTTTTGTACAAATTTTGATTAAACGCACAGTATTTTCTTGACCTTGCTAAGAAAGAACGAGTTGGAAAAGTCAAACTGTATTTGCATTTTATATTTAATATTTGCACAGTATTTGCTCTCTCCATATAAACTACTTATTTCCAGCTACACCTTTGCTGCATCATATAATTCATTATTTAAATTTCACACTTACCTCCTATCACAGCAACTTCTGCTGTTGGAGACCAAAGTCTCCACTCTGTTCTTCCACTCTGAAATGTCTGACTGCTTGTCCTAACTGAAATGTTATCTATTTTCAGAGCAACTGACTTGCACTCAAACTTCCAGCTGATGGAAGCAGAGGGTGACCCTTCTTTTCGGGCTAAATAAACCTAAATGAAAAGAAGACATCATCAGCATGTCAAAAACTGAGATGACCAAGACATGTCTAATTAATCATTGTAACAAGGACATAAAATCTTAAGATAACACACCTTCATTCTTTATCAAGCCTCTGAACCTTTAAAACTGTACACAGTACAATTTTGTATATAATGTCATTCTGAATCCTTAAGTCTAGTCCACAGTTAGGCAATTGTAGACGTTCATAGTCCTTCACTAGGGAACACTAATCTATTTCAACATGCTTGTTTAAAAGTTTAAGCCACAAAAGTATCTAAGTTTATTTAAAAAAAAAAAAAAAAGCAGACTTTTCCTTTTTACACAAATGCACAGGCCCACACACTTTGGTTGTTCAGTATTCCTGATGAAGAAAACTGTGTAATCAGTATTTTAGATTCTTCAGATGTGGCTGCTGGCAGCTCATCACTTTGCCTAGGACTTCATATGTCTTTGTGAAAGCAAATCACACATGCTAGCCATATATAAATCCTGTATCAACATTATTAGAACTGTTAGAGATTTGCATCATTTAGTGTAGTCCCAATGCTGTTCTAAACTTCACCTGGCTCAAGTCAAGCGTGTATGTCAACATTCACTAAAGTTATTATGAACCCTCATAAGAGTTATGAGCCCTCATAAGAGTTTTGTAATAAGCATCTGATGATCTTTTCAAGTCTAGTATCTATTATCAGCAAATCAGGATAACAGACATTACAGATTAAACTACCATGATCCTTTCAGAATCCTTAGGTAAGAAAATTTATAAAAATTCTGTCATGCCCAGGCTTCTGATTAATGTCATAGTGAATGGACTTACACAGCTCTTTAGTTTCTAGTCTGGAAAGAACAACCCTGAATAAAATGATGACAGTAAAACACAGTATTACGTTTTACTGAAGATCCCACCCTAATATAGAAATGTCATTGACAGACTATAAACCAGAATTTCAATGTTACTATGCACCAGGCATAAAAATGTTAATTCTCATGTTCAAGAAAGCTGAAAACCCCCAAAGACGTGAGGTGTTAAACTGAGGATCACCTATGAAAATGTAACTATTTAACCTGCTTTCACATGAATATAATCTTAATGTTCATGATAGTGCTGATCTCCACACATTTTTTTTTTATGTACCTCAGCTAGTGCCAGCAAGAGATTTCTCTTGATCAGATCCTACTGAATTGCCATATTTGAGTAAGGAAGCCAAAACACTCCACTAATGACTACTTGGTTGAGGTGCACTAAACATGGGTTTTTAGGGATAAAAACTAAAACATTAACCTGTTATCTTCCATTATAATATTCAAGCATTTAATCAGAAGAGCAGAAGTTAAAGTTTCCTTTTGTGTGGTTTTGACTGTCCTCTAACTTTCACACCTGGCTACTCTTTTTCCAGTATTTGAAAAAAGCCTGAATTCAGGAAAAAAAAAAAAAAAAAAAAAAAAAACCATTAAAATTTTTTTCCCCCGAAGAAATTT